TTAGTATCACCATGATTCAGCTAAGCACAAAAGTGTTATTTTAATGTTATCTTATATAGCTGTATATATATATAAAAAAAATGTTTGTTTTGCAGAGGCTTTTAAGAAGACGGCTACCGGCAAGAAGCTGAGAGGGAACTCTCAAAATTGGTACAAGAGACAAGAGGACTGAGGGTGTCTAGAATGCACAAATGTATGTCTGCAGTATAAGCAGTACTGAAAAATGTATAGTTGCTGCTGCTTCTAACTGTCCCCAGTTTTTTCGGGGACAGTGCAAATGTTCAAAGCTTTCAGTAAACACTGGTTCAAAAACAGGTTCAAAGTGTGTGTTAACTTTAACAGTAATATTAATTTTAACAATTAGGTATCAGAATATAGCATAATAAGATGGGTAGTTACAATAAAATTAAAATTTGAAGAGATTTCAATCGCACTGTGTGCTCTAATGCTTTAAAAAAATTGTGTGGTGTTGAAAACAATTTTTTTTTTCAGGTGGGCTTTAAGCATATTGTCTTGTTGGGCCCACCTTAACACCCAGATGGGTTTTGCATATGATCCCTAGTTGGGCCCCACCTAAAGCCCAGGGAAATCCTGCATAAAACCTACATGGGTATGTTGCATGGGGCCAACATGGAACCCGTGGACAAACCCACTTACAACCCATATTTCAGCCCATGTAGTAACCTTATAGTACCCACATAAAAAATAAAGCTGGGGCCAAGATGGGTCTTGCGCATGTTGCCCAGTTGGGGCCCACCTGTTGGTAAGTACAATCTCACATGAAATCCATGTGGGCAATTGACATTGGGCCATTATGGAACCCGCGGACAATCCCATTTTGGGCCCACTTTTTCAGCCCATGTCAAACCCACATGGGCCCCACACACAAATGTTGGCTGGGTGATGAAGGAGCCAGAGTAATACAAATATGTCTGAAAGGTCTGACATAACAATAAAGATGCCACATGAACGATATTGTATGAAGTGTGCAAATATCACACTTTTCCTCACACATTTACATCAGTGTATAATGCAGTTCTATTCTACACAACATTAGCAATATCTACCTGACTTGCACTAATGTACAGTGTAGCACACTAAAAATCTTTGCACAGTGTTTACTCAGCAAATAGTCCATGATAGTTGTGGTTATATATTTAGTATGTATTTTATATTTTATTGTATTTTTAATATTCAAGTTAGTCTTTACTATTTGTATATGGGTTTAATTGTATTGGTTTTTTTATTTATCTATTTATTTTATTATCTTTATTTTACCTGATTCACACACACTCGCACTCGCACTAGTTGCTGTGCTTGTTGCTAGTAATAGATAAACTCATAACGGTTACCTAGCTGACCAATAGAGGGCCCCAAAAAATAGGCGAACAAAATTAAGTCGGGTCAAAGAAATTTGGTTTAAAACTTTATTGCACGGAATGCAAAATGATAAAAAGATGATGGCATAGAAGATTATGGAATTGGGGATTATCCAATGTATGGAGTCCGGATTGGTAAACGTGGAGCCACGGTTAGAAATATTTATTTTGCAGTTTGCATCGGCTTTGATCCCTGACTGTCTCAAGAATCAAATGTATGTTGTGGAATGACGAACGAGTGTTTATACTGGTTGTGGTTTATTTTAATATCTGACAGTCATTTTGGCAACATATTTTATAGCTAATGATGGAAATTTGGAGACAGTGGGATTGTGTCTGAATGTATATGAGGATGGGACAACAGGTGATCAGTTCTGCTGTTTGGAATGAGAGGTGTTCACTGGGAGAAAGGCACTCATAGACATTTCTTATGGACAAGATGGATGTCTTAGTCCGTTCATGCCTTTTTGTTCTCTGTTTTAGTGGCAGTTTATGGAAATGAACTCTTGCTCTTTGCCTTAATGCTGTAAAAATCATTTCTACAGCCAGGAGCAATACAATAGTGTCTCATGTTTTGTCCTCTGATGTGGCTTGTGGTATTTGGCTGTCCAGTTTCCATCGGTCCGTCCACTACTTCTACTATATCTGTTTACCTTAGGCAACACAACCAAGCCCGAGACGCCACACGCTTTATCAATGTTGAACACAGTTGTGCTGCACAATATTTTTGTGGAAACTGATACATTTTATTTTTCAGGATTCACAGATGAACAGAAAGTTCAAAAGAAGGTATGTACTAGAACCGAATCAGAACGCAGATTTCGGTGCCTCATTTCGGTGCCATGCCTGAGCGATCGATTGAAATATTTGTCCTCTGGTTCTCCGAAACGGACGTAAGCATCATCATCACTGGCACCGCACGTGAAAAGTAATTTCCCAACTGAGAAAATGCACGTGAACTCAAGTCGGAAAGCTCTAATAATACAGATCCAACACATCTTTGTAGTAACGAGAGTGTCCATGTTGTTTTCACATTCCGACTTAAAAGCAGAACTCGGGAAACGAGAGCATCGAGGAGCGCGTGAATGCAGTAATTACACTTGCTCTGATGGCAGCAGGTAGCCTTCCGTTAACTAAGCTAAACATGCTTAAATTAACATGCCTAAAGCTAAACCTCCCTTGTCTTCACATTTCTAAACCTGTTGTCCAACAAAAGAGAACATTATAACCGTTTTACTCCACAACACCAGTCAGATGCTTCCTTCTGTGATCTGATGAGGCTTCTTGTCACAGAATGAGGCAGAAAATATGTTCCATAGGCTACTTTAAAAAGAATACATCGATTAGCAATGGATTATAAACATACTTCATTATTATGAAAATACCAGAGATGGCTTGAATAACACAGATAAACTATATTACCGCAGTCGAGTGTTTATTGTCTATATTTTATCATTCAAAACGTTTATATCTTCGGTTTACTCAGTTACAGCTATAATACCGATGCCTTTGTCCATATTAGGGATTTCCCGGAGGGTCTGAGTTATCTACTTCTGTAACTGGATATGTGCATTTTCTGTGCGAGGGCGCCCTCTGGCGTGCAGTATGAATGAAACTGACATCATGTGTTTATAGTGCTTATAGAAGTGTTTATAAAAATATCCCATGTGTTCCTTCATTTTTTACTTTCTCTTACTCGTTTTAAATAAAAGATGTTGGCAATATTGTTTTTACTGATAATCAGTTTTTTCTTTCATATCTGTTTTTTTTCTTCAAAATTTTATTTATTTATTTATTTTTATTTATAGATTTATCGTTTTGTTATTTAAAGTGATTTTTGTAAAAAGACACCATCCTACAGGAAGTGACGTCATTGTTTGATGGAAAACAATCACACAGACACCAGTAAGTATGGTCATTTGATTTCATGGATTCTGTTTTCAGTTAGTTTGAGTCAAACGTTCCATCCATTTGACAATATTAAAATGTCATAACCCTGTGACCAGGCTATACTAATATAAGATACTGAAAAGTATTTTTGTTGTTGTTGTTAATGCATGATTAATGCGCTATGTTTGAACAGTACAGAAGAGGTCAAATCAAACCAGCCTTCCTTACCTTACAGATATGGACAAATGCGTCATCTTATTTATTCTGCTCAACAATACACAGATACTGAATGACCACGCTTTAAAATATGATGAAGAGCTCACTTTCTTCTGTGGAACATAAAAGAAGATATTTAGAAGAATGTGGGTAACCAAACAGTTGCTGGTAGCCATTGACTTCCATAGTATAGAGGGAACAAAATGAAAGCTAGTAGGCTTCAAAATACTGTCTTTTGTGTTTAACAGCAGAAAGAAGCTCATACAGGTTTGGAACATATTAAGGGCGAGTAAGTGATGACCGCATGATCATTTTTGGGTGCACTGTCCCTTTAAGACTTCTTGCAGGTTTCTTGAGACAGACTATCATATAAGTTGTCTTTTGATTGGTTTGTCAGCCTGTTTATTTATTATTATTATTATTTTTAAAATTTTATTACAACACGCTGCATAAATGAGAAACATTTGACCCGAGCGCAGTGTCACGTGACTCGGCCAGTACGTGGGGACGTACAGTGATCGGGAGTCACGTGACGCGCTGTGCGTACGCGGCGGAATTGTTCGTGAAGATGGCGGACGAGGAGGCCGAGCAGGAGCGCGGCGAGCGGAGCGACCCTTCCAGCGCTTTAAACGCGCTCACGACGCGACTGGAAGACATAGCAGCGGCTCTGAAAAACAGCCAGGCGTCTCCCGACAAGCGAGCGTCACAGTATTGCTACGAGTTCTGTCAGGTGAGCGCAGATTGTCCCGTAATGCTGCCTGTGGCACAACACTGCTCAGCTGCACGCGTAAACACTCGCCTCACCGACACTAATGCAGGAGACCCGCTGAGGGGAACCAAGACGGCTTTAGATAGTGCCTTGCTATGCTAGCGCGTTTATAGAGGGTTAGTCAGTCGATTGTGAGGCTCAGTTAGCTGCTGTGTGCGTCGCGCAGGACTGTAAACAAGCACGCAGCGCCGTGGTCACCGCCATCATCTGTCACTCTCTGCTCCGCCTTATCAAACTCCGCAATCTAGCGTGCGCTGCACATCATTATATTACTAACTGCACATATCGACACAATCTCTCACTTGCTGCACATGAAAATGAAATGCAGTCGAGTGTCAGATAACACTGACTGACCCTCAATAAACGTAGTCTTTCATTATCATCATAATAATCTATAATGATATGCAGTGACTGGCAAATTAGTGCAGTGATCTTGTAATCTGACACTCACATCATGATAACCTGCCACTTTCTGAATATCATCATCATGATGATCTACAGTGATTATAACCCTGCACATCATTATAATCTCACACTCGATGATGCACATTCTGCATGTCAACATCAGCATGAACTATATAATGCAACTATTATAATCTGCAGCATCATCATAATCTGACACTCGCTGCATACCAATAACAATATGAGAAACAATAACTATCCTTTACCCAGTTCAACTCCTTTGCAGACTAGAAACATTCAGGATTTGAACGTGAACGATTGTCTCTAGTGATGTGTTGCAGAGCATTACTGATTGGTTTGGCTTTCTCAGCCCGTTTAACTGAGACGATCACAAGTCAGTCTTGCGGTTTAACGACCTCTGTTTGCCACTAATACTATTTTTCATCCACGGATCCAATCCTGATGCATGATCAATTTTGCATGTTGGCCAATACCCATCCAATATCAGTGTATAATATCCGTTTCTCCCTAATTACACACTACTGCATTATAAATGAGCTTTTCACTAGGATCACATTTTGATAAATTATTAGTCATACTGTAATGATGATTAATGGCGTAATTGTCTTCATTATTCACTACTAATTTCACTTATGATGTAAGATCAGACAGAGTCTTTCATATGTGACCCTGCAGCACAAAAGCAGTGTTAAGTCGCTGGGGTATATTTGTAGCAATAGCCAACAATACATTGTATGGGTCAAAATTATCGATTTTTTTTTATGCCAAAAATCATTAGGATATTAAGTAAAGATCATGTTCCATGAAGATATTTAGTAAATTTCCTACCGTAAATATATCAAAACTTAATTTTTGATTAGTAATATGCATTGCTAAGAACTTCATTTGGACAACTTTAAAGATGACTTTCTCAATATTTAGATTTTTTTGCACCCTCAGATTCCAGATTTTCAAATAGTTGTATCTCAGCCAAATATTGTCCTATCCTAACAAACCATACATCAATGTGCGTATATTTATTCTTTCAGATGATGCATAAATCTCAATTTCAGAAAATTGACCCTTATGACTGGTTTTGTGGTCCAGGGTCACATTTGACTTCTAATCCCTAATACACAGCAGGGAAAAGTGTGGAGTTTGAGTGATTTTCAGGTCTGGATAAGCATGAAAACAGAGAATAGGAATATATTTGTGTTTCCAGACTTTTGCCCCTATTCTGTTCTCTACAATTGAGAATTCCTAAAAATAAGTTTATCATGCAAGCGAGTGTTTTCGTGGCGTTTGGAGCAGACACAATATCAAAGTGATGTGTCAGAGTACGCAGATCATTATAATAATAAAATGCTTTTATTATCAGAGTTTTTGAAAAAGAAACAAAGAAATATGATTGTTTCTAATAACTATTTGTGCTGTGTGAGCTGGAGCTGAAGAGTAAATGAACCACAGTAAACTGAAGCGCTTTGGAGCGAGTTACTGAACCCAACGCCTCCTATATGAGATGCATCAGATAAATAAACATAAGTAATATTACAAGCACAGCACAAACTCATCGTGACCGTGCTAGTCAGAATGTGTAACTCATGATGTGTATGCAAAACCAACATAATCGAAAGCACTAAAACACAGTCAACTAAACAAAGAATTCACAACACTCTTACAGTAGAATTCTCATTATAATGTTACGTTTGTGACAGATTGGCACTGAGAGTCTTGCACTTAACTGAATCTTTTATTTTATTTGTTCAATGTCAAATGATCACCGTTTTCATGATTGATCATCGCTGTCACTTTCGAGTGCTAGTGCCCATCCCTAACATCAATGTGCTGCTGAATGCGTGCAGACTGCTGGTGTTGTATTGACATGGGCATGTGTGCTCGTTTCAGACGCTGGTGGAGTATGCCAGTCTGTGGAGGATTGAGGAGGAGCCGTTACCAGTTCTGGAGGTTTACATCATTGCACTGCTGAGCTTTGCACAGGCGTCGCCGTACCTTTCCACCCAGTGTGAAGAGGTGCCAGTCCTGCTCGAACGGCTCTCGCTGTAAGTGTGCACTTAGGTGTGCTAGTAATTCACTTGAAAATTCACTATTTTTTACTTTGAGTTTAATTTGATGAGTATTTGGTGCCTTTCTTTCTGTAGGAGTTGTGCAGAGTTGCTGCTTTCTCTGCCCCGGAATATCCCAGATGCATTGTGGGACAGGTTCAGGTCATCTGTCCAGGTAAATTTACCAGGCTGAAGTTCTTAGATACTTAGGGCTGGGTATCGTTTTAAAAAGTTTCAATATTGATACCGATACCTCGACTATGATACCGGTTCCTGAATGATAGTTTTTTCGATACCAATTTTATGAAATCTGTTTTAACAAGATTATTTTACACATTACCTTTGGTTTTACTTTTTCAGTTTGTTGAGGTTTTTACAGACTCAGAGACTGATCTCCTGAGCCACTGCACAAAGGAACAAAATGTAACCGACACAATAAATCAGTGCAAATAGTTTTAGTAAAGTTCAAATAGTTAAAAACCAAAAAAAATGTGTCTTCCGCGATCGCTGTTCTGACTCAGAGGAGCTCATTCGCTGCTCATCTGTCAATCATATCACGCATTCATAACCCGCCCTGTCTCCAACGACGAGCGTGCATTACACTTCCGCGTTCAGTTCTGTACATAAGAAACCCAGAAAGACATTTCTACGGATGAAACATGAACCTAATAAAACACTCGATTACGACAGTATATAATTTGTATGTGATTTTAATGAGATGCTGCCTGTTTTCATAACAATACAGTGTGTTTACATGAGAAATGCCAAGCAGATGTAGCGATCAGCTTGATATAAAAGGCTACAAATAACATTTCTGCAACATTATATGACTAAAACCCTCATTAGATCGCAATTGGAAGTTATTACAAACACTCAATGGTGATTTAAAGTGAGTTTTGAGTGAAAGCGTAGTATAAATCTTAGAAATTGTCTTGTGTAGCATGATGCTACAGTGTGCATGAATGGTCACATAATAGCGTTTATGGTCGTGTAGAGTGGCTGCAGATCTCTTCTGAAACGCAGTGGAAATGCCAGTATGGACGAGGATCGTTTTCATTTTAAAATTATGTTTTATAACGTAAACACACTAGTGTAAATGTAGCCTGACATGTATGGGCGTTTGGACTCACCTGTGAGCCACGTCTCTGGGTGTAACCGGCGTAAACTAGTGTTTTTCCTTGATTCCTCACCAGAGCCAATCACCAGCACTTGATTTCGGCACATAAAGCATGCTGCACGCTTATTGGCTCACTGACGTTGACCAGATTAACCTCTTTAGGTATCGAAATTTGGTACCGAAAGACAAGACATTTTTTGATACTCAGTGGTATCGAGGCGATTCGGTCGGTGCCTAAAAAGTATCAAACTCGATACCCAGCCCTATAGAAACTAGTGTTTGCATTGGTCAGCTTTGTTGTCTTCTACAGTAGTGTTGTCAAAGGTACCGATGTCGGTACCAGTCAGTACTGAAATTGTAAAAATGTGACAATACCAGCATTTCCCGTGAGCATTTTGAGCGGATTCTCAATCAGCTCTCATACCTGCAAACTAGTAGCTTTTCGGCGAAATTTGCCGTTTTGAATCAAAATATGTAATTTATGTGAATCGTCTAGATCCGAAAAGTTTCATATTTAAAAGTATTACATTTTTCACAACATTTTTAACATGTATGTTCAAAAATATTTAAAACATTAATCTTATAAAATTATTTATGCATTTGAAATTTTGTGGTGTAAATGCATTTGACACCTCAACTTCATTTGTCTGTAAATACATCTAATGCCACTTCAGATGCAGCTTCTGTTTCCTCTGCAGTGAAAAGATGGAGTTTGTTGATAGTATGCGCACTCTGTGAACATTAAAATTTGCGCAAAAAAAATTACTCCACTGCTCACAAAGAGAAGCATGAACACAGATGACAACAGAGTTGCACTGCCCAAAAAGTTTGTGGTATAAATGTGCTTTTTTTATTATTTTTTTGAAGCATATGTTGTCTTTTTCCTTTATTTTGTTGTCGGAGTGCACCAGAATGCTTCATTTACATGTTAAATTCTCAAAACCTTTCTTCTGGGGTGGGATGCCCCCAGACCCCCCAACAAAGGTCATATTCCTTTGTCATATTGTGAGTTTGCAGGTATGAGCTCTGATTGGCCATTGTGTTCACGCGCTTACACAGATACACACGGGAGCATTTGATTGCCGCGTCTTATCAGCGGATGCCTGATATATCTGCTCATAGACAGCTCCGGCTTTCAAGCGCTCCCGTCTGTATGTATCTGTGTAAGCGTTCGGTGAAGCGATGATCATTGTAGCCAATCACAGTCATATCTGTTGAGCGTGTGAACACAATGGCCAATCAGAGCTCTAAGTGCTAGCGGGAAATGCTGGTATCGGCACGTTTTTAAAATTTCAGTACTGATTGGTATCGACATCGGTACTTTTGACAACACTATTCTACAGTAATGGACAGTATTAGTTCCAAAGATGTCCTTAGTCCATAACTTGATAGTCAACAACAAATAAGACGCATGCTGTTTGCAGTGCAGGTTGTGTTTTCCACTGTTTTATTTTGTGTGCTGTCATGTCCGTGTAGATTGCCCATTCTCTGGTACAGGAGAAGGGAATCAGCAATCTGATGATCCTCTCCACCATCGCACGAGAGCAAGGGGTCTGGAGCAATCCTACGCTGCAGGGCATTCTCACGAACCACATGCCACCGCAAGAGAAAGGTGCTGCTCGTTATCCTCAGATCTTTTTGAGAACCTATAAAGTAGCGTTTCTCTCTTAGTCAAATATGACCTGACAACAGAACTGACATTTTGGTAGAGTTAACCTGACAATCTGTATTACACAAGCATCAAAAAAGTGTTTATTTTCTCTCTAGTCTGCGAGTTCCTCACTCTGGAAGGACAAACACTGCTGAGGATGCGATTGAAGCACTTGATCAAAGAGAGCAGTGTGGATCAGGCTGCGTTGCTGGCCAAGGCCTGTGCTGAGCTCTCTGAATTTGAGGAGAAGGGACACTTTAAGCAGATGTTCCTGGCTTGTTTGTGCACTGCTGCTCCGCAGGGTGTTGTAATGCAAGAGGTAAGACAGTGTTTATTGAGAATATATACTTCTATGTCTGCATTTTACCACTTCCGTTCAGATTTAGTAGTTATGAAAGTATTAGGCTATATTCTAAAGCTTAAATCTAACTACAACTTATTTAAATGGTGTGAATTCAAGCTTGATTGTTGTCTTAAGGCCTTTGGAAGTACATTTTCACACTTCAGCAGACACACAAAATAGGGTCTACATCAGCGATTTCGTTTACTACCTTTTCAGCTCTCAAGAGTGGACTGTCGTGATGCTTTAGAGATGATTTGCAACCTTGAGGCTGACGGTGACGAGAAAGCTGCGTTTACGTTGTGTTCTGGTTTTTTGACCCGTCAGATTCTTCAAGAGGACTCCTACTGTGCTTGGCAAGTCACAAACGTTACCAATGCCAGAAAATCGATGTAGAATTAAGAAATGACAAATAAGAGTTTGCTGCAGATATGATAAATATATTTTCTACAGGTGGTAATTTAACGTGTTGTTTTTCATTTCTTAATAATTTGACAGATGTCATGTGTTCTCTGGCAGGGAGTTGACTCTGTTCTGGGGGAAACTGCTCAAACGATTAGAGTCTTCAGAGCAAGGCTTTTTGGACAGATGCCGTCAGATGTCATTTCTGTCTAAAACTGTATTCCACCTTCTTTTTTTCATTAAAGTCATCCAGTCAGAGGTGAGCCTTATCTTTTTTTCACTTCATGCAGTTAGTTTTAAACATGATACTAGTACTAATTATTCCTTTTCCAAATCACTAGATGGACAGAGCTGGACTTTCGACTTGCGTTGAGCTCTGTATACGAGCTCTGCGATTGGAGTCGTGCGAAGGAAGCACCAAGGCCACTGTCTGCAAAACCATTTCCTGCCTCTTACCCTCGGACCTGGAGGTCAAAAGGGCCTGCCAGCTGACAGAGTTTCTCCTGGAGCCAACCGTGGACTCTTACTATGCAGTGGAAACTCTTTACAATGAGCCAGACCAGAAGCTAGACGAGGAAGATCTACCAGTACCAAACTCGCTGCGCTGTGAGCTCCTTTTAGTCCTTAAAACCCAGTGGCCTTTTGATCCTGAGTTCTGGAACTGGAAGGCATTAAAACGCCACTGTTTAGGTCTTATGGGGGAGGAGGCCTCAATTGTGTCCTCCATTGATGAACTGAACGACGGTGACCCTGAGGGCTTAGCTGAAGAGACCAGCATATTTAGTGAGGAGTTCAAGGAAGTCTCGCAGCGTTTTGTGGATGCAACAAATGAACTAAACGAAATAGCAGATCAGAGGCAGAAAAACAAAGAGTTGAAAAAGTTGAGAGAAAAAGGTTTTGTCTCAGCTAGGTTTAGAAATTGGCAAGCTTACATGCAGTACTGTGTTTTATGCGATAAGGAGTTTCTTGGTCACCGAATAGTGCGTCATGCGCAGACTCACTTCAAAGATGGAAGCTACACCTGCCCGATATGTACAGAGACATTCGAAACGAGAGAGACTCTTGAACCACATGTTGCATCGCATGTGAAACTTTCATGCAAAGAGCGTCTCGCTGCAATGAAGACTAGCAAGCAGTTAGCCAACCCCAAAACAGCGGCTCCTGTCATAGCTGCCCTGAAAGCTAAAAGCAGTGAAAATCAGGTGCGTAAGACCAAGACAAAAAATAACTCTGGTGGGCAGTCGCATAAACTTAGCAATGGAGATGCCAATGACTCTGAGTGCTTAGATTTCAAGGGTGGCTGTGAAGGGAATATTTGTCCGGTCCATAGCTGCAGGAGGGGATTTAAATATTTCCGCAATCTTGTTGCCCATGTGAAAGATCATGGCGACAACGAAGAAGCAAAGCGATTCCTTGAAATGCAGAGCACAAAAGTGGTGTGCCAGTATTGCCGTCGTCAGTTTGTCAGTGTCGATCACCTAAACGATCACCTCCAGATGCACTGTGGCACCAAACCATACATTTGCATACAGCTTAATTGCAAAGCCAGCTTTGACTCCAATACCGAACTTATTGTACATAAGAAAGACCACCCGGTCTTCAAGGCTAAGTGTATGTTTCCGGGTTGCGGCAAGATTTTTAATGAAGCCTACAAACTGTATGACCATGAGGCACAGCATTATAAAACATTTACCTGCAAAGCACCAGACTGTGGTAAAGTGTTTCATTCACAGTCTGAGTTAGACCTCCATGCAGAGGGCCATGTCACAAAAGTGGAAGGCCAGGGCACTGACAGTCAAAGTGTTCAACCAGCAGAACCTCATCCAGACCACTCCAATCTAAATGATCAGGGCTGTGCTCAGGCTGGCTCTCTCTCTGTCACCCATCTGAATGATAATGGCACAGGCTCTCAGGTGGATCCATCTAGCATGGTGATAGTAAAGCATTCTGTTGAAAATATGCTAAATAGCGCTTTTGAGGTTTCTGATCAAGAGTGTGTCAATCCTGGGACAAGTAAACCTGAGCAACAACACATCCATCAGCATATCCCCCAGATCAATGACCACCTGGGCCAGTCAGCCATGGACACTCACATGCCTCACCTAAATCAGCATAGACCAGAAGAATCTCTTCTGGAGGCCTTGATGAGTGATTCAGATCCTATGCCGTCTACATCTTCATACCAGAGTGTATTGGAGGACTTTCTGCCTGTCCCACCAGCTGACGGTCAGCTGCAGACAGTTGATTCAGGTGCTACTCCATTATACAACAATAACAATGAACTATTTAGGCAGTATAATCCCAATCCTTTGCCTCCAGTTCAGGCATCATATCAGAGCATGTATAGCAGTAACATGACGACCCCAACACAGGCCTCCCACAATGCAACACCACTTGTCTCGTTGAAGTCCCGTCAGTGGGGATCCACAGCGTATCTCAAACTTTATTCAGAATGCATCTCAAAGTGAGCAACAACCTGCGGGAGACACAGCCGAAGTCCCTGTCGAGTCAGTTTCGCAATTTGATGACGTGAACTCAGATGATGGCCTAATTCGCACTATTTCATCCGTGTTTTCAGGAAGTGCGGGCAATGATCAGCCCAACCATACACCCATAACCAGAGAGGATGAAGTGTTGGAAATCCAAAAAGCTCTTGAGAAGCTTGACCTAGACAGAGAAATCAGTGAAGTCACCAGAACTGTGGCTAGTCCTGTGGTGAATGATGAACAGCTTAATAAGCCAGAGTCCAAAGATTTGCCCGTTGAGTTACCAAGTTATGTGAAACCATTTGCATGTGACACAAATGGTTGTAATTACAGCGCCATGACAAAAGATGCTCTTTTTAAACACCTCGTCAAGCTGCACAATTATACAGATGACATGCTTACTCAAATGAAAGACCAGTTTAATGTTGCCCCTTTCAGCTGTCAAAAATGTTCCAAGTCCTTCACGCGCAACTCCAACCTCAAAGCACATTATTTGACGATTCACAACTTTTCACAGGAAGACATAAAGAAGATGAAAATTAAGTCTCGGTCCAATCACAGGCTCCCAGGGAGTGACAGAGGAAGCCCTTGTCCAGTGCCAGAAATCCCCAATTTAGTTAAAAACACTCAACTTGTGGATGCACGTCAAAAGCAGAAACATGTTAAATGTGCATCAGACTCTATTAAAAAAGATAATGTCAAAATATCACGGTGCATCACTCCATCGCTTGTCAAGCAATCGTCTTTTGTGTCTCAAGGCAAAAGTCTTGCAATGGGAACTACGACAGTAACTCCGCAAAATCGGATGCCATTTCAGCCATCAGTGATTGTGTCTGGCTGTTCTTCAGTGACTCCAAAAATGGATCAGAATGCAAAAGGATGGTTTTCCACAAAGTCCCCAGATTCTGGTCCGACCCATGTGTCCCCATTAAAAGAGATTCTACCCATAGCCCCTTTTCCCCAGAATCCTTCAGCCACAGTACAAACACAAAATCAGTCCTTGGACAAAAGGCCCAAACCTCCTAGCAAGCCTCGAGTGGCAAAGCCAAGAGAATCTCCCAAAAAAACGAAAGAGAAAAAATCAGAGGCCGATGACATTTTTAGCCCTTACAGACCTTACCGTTGTGTTCACCAGGGCTGTGTGGCAGCTTTTACAATTCAACACAATTTGATCCTACATTATAAAGCCGTGCACCAGTCTGAGTTGCCTAAATTTGAGGTCAACAGTCAAGATGAACAGAATGAAGAGGAGGCTGAGGACAAGGATAGAAATGAAGAGAGTGACGACAAGCTGGACATGGACGTCAAGGAGGTGGATGAGTTCAGGTGTCAGGTCAAAGACTGTTCTTGCATTTTTCAGTCAGTTCCAGACTTGCTCCAGCACTACCTTCAGCTCCACAAATTAACCCTTGAGAAAGCAGGTGCCATGATGTGCAGTATCAACCTAGGCAGGTTTCAGTGCGATCAACCGAACTGCTCAGAGACCTTCACTGCTTTCTGGAAATATATCGGCCATGTGGATCAAGAACATAAAGAAACCAAGCTCTCAAAAGTCGACCCCGTGGAAGGAATGTTCAGATGCCCCATGGAAGGATGTGAATGCGCGTACAGCACACGGTCAAATCTACTGCGACACACCATGAAGAAACACCAAGACGTGTACAAACGGCTGCTCATGAACCCACGGGAAGGCAAGAGTGGGGTTAAACTCGGTCGTCCCAGGAAGTACAAAACTGACGTTGTCGAGAAAGAGAACAGAGAAGCTAACAAGAAACCCGTTAAGAAAGAAGCAGTTAAAAAGAGAAAAGTCAATAAAAATAACTGGACCAAATATGGGAAACCCATTTTGAAAACACAGGAAGAAGCTTCTGCCTTGTGCACCAAACGCTTGCAACTGCAGTACGCTTGTATGATAAAGGGTTGCGAAACGGTGACCAGTTCAGAGCGAAATATAATGAAACATTATCTTCAGCATGGACTCCCAAAACAGTACCTGGAAGAACAGAGGAGCAACTTCATATACTGTAAAAAGTTACCCCGATCCAGATACAAGCGCATCGCTTCCAGAAGCGACGACACGGATAATTCAGCGGAGAGCTCCATCGAGACGACTGAGAATGAGGAAGTCGCTGAGCCTGGCCAGAGTGAGTCCGAGTTCTCCAAGCCTACTTCTGAGAAAGAAAGCACAGAGGATGCCGATCTGTCCGACGGAAAGCCTTCTACAGACACGTGCTCGGAGATATCTGTGGTAGTTAAGAGACGGAGAGGACGTCCACGCAAGGGGGAGAGAGTATCGGACAAGTCCTTAGGACCTAAAAGGGTGACAAGACTTAGAACCGCAAGGAGTTCTGCAGTCAATTACGTGGACTTGAACTCTGACTCCACGTCCTCTAGCACTACCATGGCACAGGAAGATGCCTCTGGTCAAAATACACCACTGAGTTCATTCAAGCCCATGGGATTTGAGGTGTCCTTTCTTCAGTTTCTGCAGGAATCGAAGACGTCCCAGAAGAGGAAAGCTACGGTACCCTTGAACGGAAATGCACGCAAAAAAATGACCAAAACATTCAGTGCTTTCCACCTGAAGACTGCGACGGTCGTGTGCAAAAGATCTGATGCCCAATTGCATTCGAGAGAAGTCCTGCAACTTGTTGAATTTAAGAATCCCCAGAAGTTGACCTCGCTCAGCAACGTCACCTTTGAGGTGCAAAAGGTTTTTTCGTGTGTCTATGAAATTCTTCTCAAGCAGCTTCATGAAATGCGACCCACGGTGATCCTTCAAAAAGAGGATTAATGTACAGACCCTTGTGTCATGTTGTCTGAACTCAGGATAAGGTTGATAGATAACTTGCTGCAAACCAGTGCCCAATCATTAGTTGTACGTGGTAGTTGATCTCTAGCTGGAGTTGAATGCTGAATGATCGTTGCTTGTCAAGGAGTAGTGGGATGTTTGATGATCCGGAAAACACTACACACCCCACTATCTTAAAGGTCCCTAGTGCGATGTTTATTACTTAACAGAACTGTGTATGTTAAGCTCACTTTATAGTTGCAGTAGATGATGAAATACCTCTAAAGCATGTATGTCCTTATGAAGCTGTTCAGCACATTTCTGTTGCCTTTGGAGTTGATTTTTTCTTTTTGAGTGTTGGATAGACTCGTAATTTTTAATATTCCATTGGACATTTTTCTATCCAGCTGAAAGTGAACCATTATCAATTCTGATGTTATGTAGTGCTGTGTATAATTAGTAACTGTTTTGGTCTCGTTTACCTTGTAAATCTGAAATTTGTCAATAATGTTGTGTGTGTGGCTCTTTGATCAACCACTGCCACCAGCAGTCTGTATGTTAATCAATAGCAACAAATTTAATACAGCTTGCATTTTGTTACTCTATGTTCGTCTCATCCTTACATGCACAAGACTTTAAAAGTTCAGCATAGTAAATGTTTTATTGAAATTCTAAAACTGCTATGAGGGCTATGTTTACGGGATCGAACATACGATTAGCTCAGTATAAACACAGTTATACCATATATGCATGGAAACAAAAGTAGTTTAGTATCTATTGACATTGACTGTATATGTCAGGCCATAGTGGTAAATGCTTTTAAAGTTGAGTCATTTCATTTTTCTTTCGGTTCTTAAGCCACTTAGTTTTTAATAACACACTGATCCGTCTTGGTTATCTGACAGGGGTATTTATTTTAGACATGTAAAATAATCACTGAACATAAAGTCCTCATAAGTACAGTTAGTTCCACTTTATATTAGGTGTCTTTAACTACTATGTACTTGCATCATAAATAATGAATGGTTTGGTACAATGTACTTATGTTCATGTTGAATTGCAAAACACTTTAGCTGCTATTGAGGTGAAATACAGTTAAAGTTCGGGGCATGGTTAGGGTGGGTTAATGGTTAGCAGTGTAATTATAGGTGTAACTACAGAAAGGTGTTTTTAAATGTAAGTACAGTGTGAAAACTTGTATGCACACAATAAGTGCATTGTATCAAATGATTAATTTAAAGGTAAGTACATAGTAGTTAGAGACACTTAATATAAAGTGGGTCCTTACAATTTAACCAAGTGGTTTTCATCTGGTTTTGTAATTGGACAGTACCGCAATTATTTATCAAACAAAAATAAATATTACAATGAGCTTCACAGGCCCAACAATATGCTAAATGATCAACATGACAACATTGGTTTAGTAATAGTAAATAGTTTCATATTCTCAGCACAAAACATACTGTGGTTGACAAACTTACCCTCATTTCAAATGAACCTGTATTTAATGTCATCTGGGTTGTATTTTGGTATATTGTGTAGTTATGTTGATGGTTTGTGAGGATGAGGGCATGTTGAGGTCTAATTTGACTACAGTATAACAAAAGATATGGGAAGTGTTTGCTCTTCCCCTTTGAAAGTTCCTACATCTGTGTGCTCTGCTAACATAGCTCTATGTGACTGTAGTTTGTTATTTGCACTTGTTCTTGTGATTCCTTGCTGTCTGTCTTCACTGAGCCATCAGCGGAGAAGAACTGGTGTAGCATGCATGAAAAAGCCCAAGTGTTCACGCAGCAGCAAGCTTTGGGCTTTCCTTTGCAGCCGGCGCAGAATGAAGGCCTTCGTCTTTAGACATGGCTAGCGACGGCGGTGAGCCGAGAGTGAGCGTGGATGGAGGCCGACCGCTTCTTTCATGCACAGGAGCGTACCTCTTACTGAAGCACTTCCAGCACTGCTTCGATATGATATACATCATCTCCACCACATTCAGTGCAATGCACAGGATAGACGTACAGCCCATGATATAAAGGAAGATTTTCTTCTCGGTGGCTTTTGCGATGTAGCAGTCCACCGTGTTGGGACAGGGGCTCTCGTCACACTGGAGCAAGCGGGGAACGTGGAAGCCGCTGTACAGGAAGAAGAAAGCCAGCAGAGTGGCCACCTCGAAGGACGTCTTGAGGATGAGGCTCATGATGTAGGTGAAGAACAGCCCTCCGTCGATGCTGCCTTTATCCTGGTACAGCTTCCTCTTGTACTTGCTCTCTCTGTGCTCCCTGTAAGCCACATGCAGAGCCACCAGCAGCGACGGGGTGGACACCATGATCAGCTGAATGGCCCATAACCGCACTTGAGAGATGGGGAAGAAGCGGTCGAAGCAAACCTGCTCACAGCCTGGCTGCTGTGTGTTGCAGACGAAGTCTTTGAACTCGTCCTTCCACACCTGCTCGGCGGCGGCGACGTACACCAGGATGCGAAACACGAAGAGGATGGAGAGCCAGACCCGCCCGACGACAGTCGAGTACTTGTTTACCCCGCTTAACACATTCTCCAGGAATCCCCAGTTCATGTTTCATCGGGCTGCTGCGGGAGTCAGAAGGAAACCAAGAGTTAAATGCCTTGTAGCATGTACACTTTTAACATTCATGGAACCTTTCCTTTATAGAGGCTGTTTATCATAGTGGAAAACGGTTATTTCGATCAGTGGTTCGCAACCACTGACATTTTGCATGTCTACTTAATCAAACACACCCATTTCTGCTCTTGGATTTTCCACTAAAAAAACTGATAACCTGAATGAAGTGTTTGATTAAGGAGACACTGTGCAAAATGTTCAGTGTTGAGGGCTCCAGGCTTTAGATGATTAAAATGTTGTTCACAGTAAGAAAAAAGGGTTCTTTTAAAGACTGAAATCTTCTCTGGGGAACCGAAATGGTTTCTTCTATGGCATCGCTGTGAAAACCTTCTTTTGGAGCCTTTATTTTTAAGAGCGTAACATTGACATGCTGGATGTTTAATGTCACGTTCACTTAAAGGAACACGCCACTATTTTTGAAAATAAGAGTTAAATTTGGGTGGTATACCGGTTCATACCGAATACCGGTGTTTATTTTTGTTATGATATGAATTTTTAAAATACCACAATACAGGGGCGTACGTCGCTTAAACAACGTTGTTGGTCATACCGCCCAGCACTAACTCAACTGTTTAGCTCTAGGGGAGTTGGAAAATGAGCCTATTTTCAAAAATAGTGGCGTGTTCCTTTAAGAGAGCGAGAGCAGTGGCACTCTTTAGACTGGTATGCTTATAATCCATAATCATCTATCAAGATCTTTTTCAGAGCATTCTCAAATCTATATTTCAGAATCAGAATGACCTTTATTTTCAAGTGTGCACAAACACATGAAGATCATTTTTTGTGCGACACTTCTCTTAAGAAAGGCAAAGAAATGTTAAGTATTTACCTTTCATGTAGTCTGATTCCCTTCTGCTCGGCGTGGTCTCTGGCTGCTGCTGACAGACTGGAAATGCACCGAGAGCAGCGTCTCTCTGCTATTTGATAGTCAAACACACCTGGTGGAAGTGCCACACCTGTTTGGTTACTATGGCAGGACTCTTATGTCACTGGAAACGCTCTGCTCTGAACCGGCTGACAGGACGGTGTTTTGGTGTGTTTGCTGATTGCACGAGGTGTTGTGAGCCTCATAGCCTGTAGTGTTAGCAGTGTAAACAGTCGTGCATGTCGAGTTCAGTGGAAACGGCTCTGATGCACCCACTCGTGCCCTTGACAGACGCATACAGTCTCCATGGTCACGGATGAACAGCAGACACTCCATACACAAACCCTCAGCCAATGCTGTCAGTCTGCATGTTCAGTTTTCATGGAAAACCATGTCAGGAGAATCACATTTTGATATACTTGTGAAAATGTTCTGTAAGTCAGACCTTCCTGTGCTGTAGCTCTGATGCAGATTACTGAGGGTTACTGCAGACATATGCAAGTAAACCTGTAGATGTGTGTAACCCAATAGGTTACGTATGCAGTTTTAATGACAAACTGCAGGCTGTTTGTGCGTGTGCATGAATTACTGATGAGCTCAGCGGCACTGATAGTGTTACCAGCAGAGTCTGCTGTGAAACACCTTCATTTGTGATTGCTAAAGGTGTTAAAAAAAAAAAAAAAGTAAAATCAGTTTAATTCGTGTTTCTGTTTTTATTGTCAATGATCCATCAGTGTGCATTATTCTAGAGAAAATCATGGTTGTTTTCATAATCTTTCATCAAGCTCCACCTCAGATGTCATCAGTCCATCATATGGAGACACTTTCATGTATATTGTTCATTTATGTTCAGATTTTTTTTATGACAAACCTCTTGAGATGTACTGGCTCACTACAAAGGAAATACGATGATCAATTCATCAATGAACAGGCTGATAAACAACTGATAATAAAAAGAAGAAAAACCCATTGGTATTAATGAAAACTGCAGCACAAAACAGCCAGTTTCTGGTGATAAATAAACAATAGACTCGAGGTATAAACAGTGCCGGCCTCACTGACAGAACACACTTAAACACAGCAGCTGATGAAACAGATCTAATATTATCAGGAAAAGAATCCAGTCTACTGGGGCTTTAAACATACAAGCTCTTTTGTCAGTTGTTTTCTTTAAATTAGAGATGAGCAAGATGCTTAACTCAGTCATTTGAAGTGTGAGGAACAAAGTACTGCTGTAAAAAAGAAGGATCAAGAAAATGAATGCATTTAAATAAAATAAATTGAACCAATGAATGTGTCTTATTATTACAAGCAGAGCTGGACGTCTTAAGGGCACCACACACTATACAGTAATGACTGAGAAAATCACCTCTCATCTACAGTCTACTATATGCTGTTAAAGGATTAGTTCACCCCAAAATGAAAATGTGCTCACTCTCAGGTTATCAGAGATCAGGATGAGTTTGTTTCTTCATCAGGTTTGTAGAAATGCAGCATTGCATCAGTGTCTCAGCAATGGATGCTCTGCAGTGAATGGGTGCCGTCAGAATGAGAGTCCAAACAGCTGATAAAAACATCACAATAATCCACAAGTAATCCACAGCACTCCAGTCCATCAGTTAACATCTGGAGAAGACAAAAGCTGAAACTAATCCAGCATTAAGACATTTTTAACTAAAATACCATAGAGTCCATAATCCATAATAACTCTTCCTCCAGTGAAAAAGTGCATCTGCTGTTGTCTCTCATCAAAATCCAGCCACATATGTGTTTAGAGCTGTTTAAACGCTGCTTGATCTGTGCAGATTCTCTCCTGATTCACACCAGAACACTTTTTCACTGGAGGAAGCGTTAGTATGGATTATTGACTCGTATTTGAGTTAAAAACGTCTTAATGCTGGATTAGTTTCAGCTTTTGTCTTCTCCAGATGTTAACTGATGGACTGGAGTGCTGTGGATTACTTGTGGATTATTGTGATGTTTTTATCAGCTGTTTGGACTCTCATTCTGACGGCACCCATTCACTGCAGAGCATCCATTGCTGAGACACTGATGCAGTGCTACATTTCTACAAACCTGATGAAGAAACAAACTCTACATATTGGATGGCATGAGGGTGAGCACATTTTAATTTTTGGGTTGTACTAGTTGTTCTCCATGTAGATAGATAGGCTATATAAAGCCATGATATTGATTAGTGAAAGGGCGCATCAGTTCGTCTCTGTGCTCTTTCTGATCAGCGTTTTCTCCGAGACTGTGCGCTGAACAGCAGACACTAGAGGGCCCTGTGGTTTCTGTCTGTTCTTTCGTCCTCCTGGAGGTCAGAATAACGCATGCGCATGCAGGAGTTCCGCGTGCGCTGGATAATATCTGAGCAGCAGCTCGTGTGTTAATGTGACAGCAGCAGCAGCAGCAGCAGCAGGATGAGTTCCGCGCAGGACAGCGGCAGAGGAGGCGTGCAGCAGCCGGCTAGCAGCTCCGCGGACTCGGGCTACAGGAGTCCCGGGCTCCGGGGCGTCAGAAGCACCTCGCTGTTCCGCGCGGTCAACCCGGAGCTCTTCATCAAACCTGCAAGTGCTCTTCATAGCTTTACACGCATATAAATCACACATGACCTGATGACTCCAGCTACACGCGAGCGTTCACCTCGGAAGCGTGTTTTAGTGTTGGTTTTTGAACGCATGCGTAAGAGCGTCGCGTCACAGTGTTTACCAGCAGCACGAGCGTTGCGTTTTTAAAGAGGCCATGTAAAGTTAAAACAGCCGTTAATAAAAAAAAAAAGTCATGTTAGTTCAGAGTGCATCAATAACTTTTGATCCTAAATGCATTAGTAAATATTATACATGTAATGCATAAAACATTCAATAGCAAAGAATAAAAGAAAAAAGTTTACATAACATTTTTAATCTGAACATTTGAATAAAAACCCATTCCTGCGTCATAAAAGTGCTCAAAGTTGAAGAAAGTGTCATAAATATTGTCCTGAAAGCTGAAGAAGTTCGATATGCGACACCTTGTTAAATACTGTGATATTTGAAATGTGATACAATATTGCTTTCTAAGTGTGTGAAATCAAATTTATAACCAATGTATGTTTCACATTCACTACAACTTCTGAAAGTGACTAGCAGTGTTTACATAACTGCATTACATAAAAAAAACAATGTCACAAATCTGAAAATGTAATTTTAACATCAATGTAAAAAAAAATAATAATAATAATAATGCCAATATTTAAATACCAAAAACTCTTTGCTCAACTTGGTAATATATAGTTATATGAACCTAAAACTTCACATCAAGATCAGTGATGAGCAAACTTGGCTCTTCCAGACCACTTTCCTGCAGAGATGTGATCCGACCCTGATAAAACTCACCTGCCTGTAGCTTCATGATTAGCTGGTTCAGGTGTGTTTGATTAGAGTTGGAGCTAAACTCTGAAGGAAAGTTTGCTCACCCCTGGTCAGGATCATCCAGGTAAACAGAAACACCTGAAACTAGGGGTGAACGATTAGTTAGTTGTTATTTTAATTCATCTTTGTTAATAAAAGTAAGAACTACAAGCAATAGGACAAATACAATAAAACACCGACACAAGTGAAATAAATAGTTTGAAGTCTTTCAGGCAGGCTTACATTAGATTTATTTAACAGTACACTGTAAATAGGTTGCTGTACATTAAAAAAAAGGTTTACAGTATTATTACTGTAATTGCATTTACAGTACACTTTATAGTATCAGTACTGTAGAGTTTATTTTCATTTAGTTTAAACATTTTTTTCCTGTAAAAAACAATCCAATTGTGGTACTGCACTGCAAACCATGATTTTTACCATCCCAGCCCCCCCCCCCAAAAAAATCACAATAACTCATGAGCTTTAGTTCTGATAATATTATTTTTAATTGTTGAACATTTTCTTTTTAAAAGTACAAATGACAAATCTTGACCTCTCAGATGCACTAGCTTAAAGAAGGGCATCAGCACGGTCCCCCGGGGACTTCGTATCATGGAAGAACACACACATACTGAAAAGCAAAAACTGGCAAGTACACTACCAGTCAAAAGTTTTTGAACAGTAAGATTTTTAATGTTTTTAAAGTCTCTTCTGCTCACCAAGCCTGCATTTATTTGATCCAAATACAGCAAAAGCAGTATATTGTGAAATATTTTTACTATTTAAAACAGCTGCTTTCCATTTGAATATATGTTAAACTGTGATGATGATAAAGACATTTATAATGTTACAAAAGATTTTACACTATCATTAAGGAGTTTGGGGTGTGTAAGTATTTTTTTTTTCCCAAAGAAATTACGTCTATTCAGCAAGGATGCGTTAAATTGATCAAAAGTGAAATTAAAGACATTTAGAATGTTTCAAAAGATTCCATTTCAGAAAAATGCTGTTCTTCTGAACTTTCTATTCATCAAAAAAAACTGAAAAAATTCTACTCAGCTGTTTTCAACATAATAATAATAATTGTGCTTTGAGCAGCAAATCAGAATATCAGAATGATTTCTGAAGATCATGTGACTGGAGTAATGATCCTAAAAGTTCAGCTTTGATCACAGGAATAAATTACAGTTTAATATATATTCAAATACAAAACAGTTATTTTAAATAGTAAACATATTTCAAAACTGTACTGTTTTTGCTGTACTTTGGATCAAATAAATGCAGGCTTGGTGAGCAGAAGAGAATTCTTTAAGAAACATTAAACATCTTACTGTTCAATAGCTTTTGACTGGTTGTGTAAATAAAATACAGTAAAAATGAGTTTGTGGTAGATGTCAGTAATTTTGACAGTCAAAGTTGACAAGCTCTCCGATGAGAAACAGCAGCATGGGGTTTTGAAACATGCAGCGCTCATGTTTATTCAGCATGTGCTAGCATGTTCCTCTCAAAGTCACCCTGTTCTGTGAGTTAGTGGAGAACAGCAGCTAGAGGCTAATTTAGTGACATTAACTTTAGTTTAGCTGATGGAAGCTCACCTGCTGTTAGCACCACTAACACAAGACTCCGATACACCTCCGATGCAGACGACACGACCACAAAC